CTGAAAACAGGGAGGAGGAGGTGGAGGAGGAGGAGGGGGAGGAGGAGGAGGAAGGAGGAGGAGGAGGAGGAAGAAGGAGAAGGAGAGACAGAGGAGGGCAGAGAAGGTGGGGATGCCACAGAAAGACAGTTGAGTAGTAATGGAGAAAGCTAGGGAAAGGATTAAATTCCAAAGACGGCGGTGTGCAGCCAGTAGTGAGTACCATGCAATTAAAGCTTGAGAGGGAAATAAGTGAAGGAAGAAGGAAGGAAGGAGTGAATTAAGTTATGAAGCTACCCAAAAGGTTATCAGGGTCAGGGGAGAAGTGAGAAAGTTGTAGGTTAGAATGAAGAAGCTGATAGGGCAGAAAAGACTGAACAGGCAAGAAAGGCGCAAGAAAGGGGAAGGGAAAACAAGAATTTAAAGTTTCTTAACTTTCTACTACACAGCAGGCATTTCATATATGCTATCACCATTATTATTCCTCTTTCTGGATTTTGGGGCATATGTTACTGTCTTCCATTTACACTGATTAAATGATGCTCAGAGAAGCCAAGTGGTTAGGAAAGGCACAAACTGATGAGAATGTCTGGGCTCTTTCCTCTCTACTGAAACATGGAACAAGGTCTTAGAGGCAGTGAGCAGATATGAAGTCTAAGGCACAGCTAGAGAAGTCATCTATGTGAAAAGGAAGAACACATCCACCAAGACAGAGGCAGAAATGAACAAGAAGAGAACGCAAGAAGAGGCCCAGAGCTTGCCAGTGTTTAGAGAAGGAGGCAGTGAAAAACAGCTATGGGGCACAGAAGAGGGTGAGGATCAGCACCAACTCCCTCCATCATCACAGTAGCACTGGAGCAAAGTAATTCACTGACAGTGAACGCTGGTGGCTTAGGGACAGTGCACATCTGAGCAGAAAGCCAGCCTTGACCCTCCCTCCCAGGGACATGTGAAGTAGTCACCCCACAGCAACCTGTCACCTTCTGTAAACCATGGGTACAGATGAACTGAGCTGCCTGTAGCTGAGGAAAAGCAATGTCCCTGCCTTCCAAGAGCCACAGTCTGGAGTTACCTATGGTGATTTTTTTTCACTATTTGTTGAAAGAGTCTAATTAGGAAAAAAAAAAACAAACCTATAGAACTGAAAAATCCTCTCCTTTCCAAAGGTAGTATATATAAATACAGACAGTCCCCAATCTATGATGGTTTTAAGATTTTCAATTCTTAATGATGCAAAAACATAGTTGCACAACCACTCTGCTAAAATAAAGTTTATGTGAGATAATTTTTTTCCAAAATGTAGGCTAATGTAAGCATCTGAGTGTGTTTAAGGCAGGTTAGGCTAAGCTATGATGTTCAGTAAATGCATTTTTTACTTACAATATTTTCAATATAATGATGAGTTTATAGGGACATACCCTCACTATTATATCCAGAAGTGTGTAAGTTCTCTGCAAGTGAATATGTCGTCCACTGGTTTTGAAAATGAGGGAATTGTATACCTTTATTCACACTCATAACCAAAAGTAAATATACCTCCATCACTGCAGGAAGCATGGATGGGATGTGCAAGAAAGAAAACCAGAAGGAGTCCGGGGCTTAACTTGTAGAAGGGCAGGTTACTGAACAGGAAGCATTAGATTGCTATGTCTATGCTGGTGTCTCTGGCTTCCAATTCAAAACGATCACCAAAGCATCATGGGATTTTCATAGCTTCCTGCAGCTTGGCAGGTAGCCACTGAAGAATGTGATTTGCCAGTTATTGTAAAGCCAAGTGTTCCAATAACTTTTTTTTGAAACTCAATAGCCTCTGTTTAAAACAGATCCTTGGTGGCTCTTTGGGTTATTTAACTGTCAGATGCAATATTAACAAATGGCATCAGACACTAGCAAAGTACTTACTCAGAGTAACTATCTGAGTCAGGAAGTATTTGTTTCCTTACTTTTTTCTTTGCAGGAGAAAACATGATGGATTTTTCAAGAGAAAAAGTGGTGGTAGTTGTGTGTGGGTTACTATCAAAATTAAAATAAAATTCAGAACATATACCCCTACTAGAAAAGATAAGTTCTACATCTGTGGAAAACAATAAAACTAGGTTGCTTAGGTACTACCTGTATTTCAGTATTATTTTGATGTGCCAGAGCAAAAACCCAGCACCCTAGAAGTTTTGACTTTAGGTATTAAAAAAGAAAGCAAAACCTCTTTAGGTCACTGGCTGTTCCCTTTGCCTTCTTTTCTTTGCCTCCTTCTCCTGGAAGGTGAGATTCAAATTTCTGCAGCCCTTCTCAAATATGGTCAAACTGCTGCTCAGTACTGTTCTGAAATAAGGAAAGAATTTTTACACCAAGTCTCAACATCTTGATTGCCTGGAAAAATATCATCTTTGAGGTCATTCGACATTTTTATTATTGTTTTATCTATTTGGGGGTACAGTTTCAATGGCAGATGTATGGCCCTGATCATGCAAAACCAATCTAGGAAGAATCAGTGATTTCTTCTCCCTATCTTCTCTGCATTCCTGCTCCCCCAGCTGCCTCTGTCACCTTGCAAAACTGGCAGGCTCTGGGCATTTTGCACGCTGGAGAAAATCACTGTTTTGCCTCCAGCAAGGAACAGAAATGTTGTAACACTGACTCCTCCTCTAATGAAGAAAGAGTGAACAAGTGCACCTAGCGGAGCTTCTCAGAGCCACCCGGGCTGGGGACGCTGGAGCGGAGGCTGCAATCCCCAGACCCCCGTCTTCTGGGGTGGGCTTTCCCCGCCTTCCTTTTTTCTATTTTACTCAGCTGCTCTCCCGCTCTTTGGATTTTACCGGCTGTTCAGGAAACAGCTTGACACACCATGGGTATCCAAGTCCTCGCGCGGCAAGTGCTCCTGGCCTGATAGGGCAGACTTTGCTCCCTGGCAAAAGTGAGTAGTCGGGCAGGCGGGCGGGAGCTGTCCCCAGCTGAGGGTTCGAGGCCGCGCGCGGGACTGAGGCGAGCGTGGCTGCCGGCGCGGGCTGCTGGGGAAAACGCCAGCAGTGAAGCCAAAGCCTGCAGCAGCGAGAATTCCCCGGCTGTGACCGCAGCCGGCCTTGGTGTCCCTCATCGGGGGACCTCTCAGGTGTTTGCCACCCCACGCCAGCTTTTAAGCTGCACTGGGCACCCATTAGGCTCTTTAAACCGCATCTGCACGTGCGCCCCTGAGAACGAGTCTCGACGTGATCCTGAGAGTCTCAGAATGTGCGTTATTTGCGTCAAAATGAAAAGTGGTGGGAAAATAGTGGGGAGGGGCAGGGGCTCCAACAAGTGGTGCGAGGATACCAGGGGTCTCCCACCTCCATCGCGGCCTCCGGCCTCCGGTGGGGAAAGTTCAGCGTCTTTTGCGCTGACTCCAAAGGTGTGGCTCCTGCACGCCTCACCTCCAGCCTGCGGGGCCTGGCAGATAACCAGCCTCGGACTGGAACCCGAGCTACACCGCCGCGCTAGGAATTCCAACCCCAGAGGAAGCGGGAAGGAGAATGGGCAAACTCGGTACCCGGAAGCCAGCGGGCTGTGGAAAGGGAAGGTATGGGTTAGAGTTCGAGCTCCAGGAGTAGGAAAATATCCTTTTAGTGACCTCTACCTGTATCCTGAGGAAGCAACTCACATTTCCCTCATAACAAACAATTTAGGATTTTCTACGACTGGATTTGAAAATGGTTGCATACATTATTAATGTGGACGCATCCTCTTGTCTTTATTCAAGGGGTTGGCTGACAAAGATTTCCCACCTGAGTCTCTTGACCAGTGGACTGCTGCTAATCATACAGCGTATAGGTTGGCTGTGCAACCTTGGGCAAGACACTCTCTCTGGACCTCAGTTACACAGCAAAATTTAATGGGCCAGAAGTGCTGAACACTGCGAGGAAGAAAAAGCAGCTGAAATTTTTAATTTTAGTGAGTTTTTTTTAAGTGAGGGTCCAGGGAGATAGATATTTTGCAATTAGGAAGGGGACCAAGATATGGAAGGAGGGGGGAGAGGAGGGGAAGGAGAAGTAAAAACAATTGAGATGTGCTATGTCCCTACATGTATCAACTCCCCACAATGAATGCAATCATTATGTACTGCAAACATGTACTGATAAAAATTTTTAATTTTTTAAAAAATTAAAAAGTAGGGATCATGGATCCTTTTGAGAATTAGCTGTTGAGTTTTCTCCCCATGACAGAGAAGAGGAGGCTTCTTATGGAATGCACACAGAATTTCACATGCCATCCCTGAGAGTTTGCAGACACCTCTCCAGACCATACCTGCATCCCAGGTGAAAATCCACTGCCTCTAAGGACCTGCATCAAGACCACCTAGCCAAGCCCCTAAGGGCAGCCGGGTCAACTATGGGAGAAACTGGCAAACCTTCTCAGAGGGGTCAACCACACTGCTGAAGGAGACGGCCTTCCTTCCTGGGGTAACTCCTCAGACAGCCTCTCAATGGCTTCACAGTCTTTGCCTCATGCAGACCTTTCCTCCTAAGCCTTTCTAAAAAAAACTTTCCTAAGGCAACAGTCCTCACCTCTGGAGGTTGTGGTCCTATAAACAACACTGGAGACCCATCTGAAGAGGGTCACTGTCCAAAGAAAAAATGCTGTTAAGGTCACCCAGCTAGATGTAGACAGAGAGACCAAGCTTTTATTTGAAAATGAAATATGATTTGCTCCATAGTGCACAGTATGCCTAGGTAATGGTTTTCATTTGAACCTCTGTACCTTGTTTTTTGAGGGACTAAGTGTTCATATGTTGTGGGGACCCAGGTTTTCCACTGGCATTGCCAGCAAGGTGTAGCTCTGGCCTGTGAACAGGAAAGCACACAGGGTTTTGGAAACCAATGTACTTTGCTTAAAATCATGACTCCCACACTTTTGTAACCCATTGAACTTTTTTAAGCCTTACTTTTCCTGTCTGCAAAATGTACAACTTTCTTGTACAGTTCTTGAGAGAAGAGAAACACTATTCATGTCATGCCTGACTCAGAGTCAATGATGACTTGCTATTAATATTAATGTGAGATTATAATTAAGTGTCCAGTGGTCTAACCTTTTTAGAGTGGCTTTCTCTTCTACAGGGTTTGTATTAGTAGACTGAGTGAAATCAGCTCTGGTCTAACTACTCTCAAAGATGAATGTGGTTCAGATCGCAGAGTCTCGTTACTACTTCAATTGTGCTAGGTCAAGCAGAGCACTCTGTTTTGTCAACAAGTAAAATATAACCAGATGGTTGGATTCTCTATCCTTCTCTCTGTTCTCTTTTAGCTCATATTCTTGAACACAGATCATCTATCTGTGCCTGTAGCTACAAAACACTGGGCATGGAAAGAAGAGAACTCTCATGCATGGATCTATCACCAAACCTACCAGAAACTGTCCCTGTAGAGAGGTCTATAGTGTGATCTTTCACTGCTTGGCTTAGATTTGGCTAGAAACAGTTCATACCCACTGTTTCTCTCTGTCACTCTCTGAAGTCCTGGCCTCTTAGTCACCAGTGATTACATGACAGGGAAATGTGGGAAAGAAATATCAGAACATTAAAACAAAGTTGCATACCCACATAGTAGGCAAAGATTGATCAGCATATTCTGGGAAGGTATTCTGGTTTGCAAATGATAATACTGATAGTTGTTATTCATTGAGCCTTGAAGGTGAACTTTCATACGTTACCTCAATTAATTTTTGTAACAATACTGCAGAAAATGAGTATCATTTAAAGCTTCAGATATAAGAAAACTGTGGAATAAAGACATTTACATAATTTGCCTAGCATGCTTAGCATGGGATTCAAATCCTGGTTTCCTTGACTCTATTTTTTTTTGTATTAAATTCTTTTATTGGTACATTTTAGGTACACAACACAATTACATTTCTCATTGGGAATTGTACCTTTACATAATGCATCTTGGTTTTTATTTTTTCACCATTCCTAGCCCTC